ACTGTATATAAATCTTATTTAGGTGTTAAATAAATATGATTGTTTTTTTATATTACCGAAATAGTCGTGAATTTTTTTTCACTGAAAACTTTTATAACCTCAGAATTAACAAACGCTTTTTTGCATAAGAGTTACTATAAATTAAAAAAAAACTCCATAAAAAAATATATGTGTTATTAAATTAGTCTCCTTTAAGAAGTAAATTTAATTATTCATTAATGAAAGTATAAACCAACTTTATAAATACATACAAATTAAGAGATACTGTTGAATTATTCAATAAAAAATGCAAAAAATTGATTCTGTTGAAAATATAACACGACATAAATTTTAGCATTATTTAATACAGTAACATAAAGAGTTTGATGAAAAAGAGTTAATTTTACCAACGTTTTATCCTGCGAAATAATCAATAAATCGATTATGAGAGTCGTAAAAATATAACAAAAGTTTGCTTTGTACAGTTTTTGTTGATTATTATCTTGTGGTGGTAATTAAACAATGTTTTTAATTACTCCATATTTTTTACTTTAATTTAAAATTCACAACACTAAAGAAAATTATCTTGTAAAATATGATTTTGACCTCGAAAACTTGATTACATCATAATTTTAAAATGAATTTGTTATTTAATTTTTTATACAAGAGACATCAAAATTGTCAAGGTAATTTAGAAACTAATTATGAACGACTTCCCCCAACGACACACCTAACTTTACGCATTTGAAATAACATCTAAGAAAATGTATTTATTTTTTTAAACAAATAAAATTTTCTTTAAATGTATACAAACTGTTTTATTATGTATGATTATCACTTGCATGTTAAACAGCTATGGTTAAAAAAAAAAACAAAAAAGTAACTTTATACAAAATTATAAAACAAAGAAATTTTTTTTGCAAAAAAGCACCTCTAGACTTACCTTATTTAGATGATTCGCATACCTAGGAACTGATAAATGATTCTGCAACAAAATTACAAAAACCATGCAAAACATAAATCACAACAAAAACATGCGAAAAAAAAAGAAGCACAAATTAAAAAAATCTAGCACTGGACATACCGAGTGTGCATGTGATACATGTGTAAAATGAAAACGACCTTGTCGTACTCCTTGAGGTATACTTGTGGGAGATAATGTAGATGGACTTGTATTTACAGGACTCTGTAAATAAGCCAAGTGAATACTAACTAAATTGAATTTAAACTACCGGGAAATGACACTAAGTATATACAGCGCCACTTATGATACCTACAGAACTATAGGGTGAACTTCCTTGGTCTGCATCTTGATCTAAAGGTACTCGAATCGGCGACGAAAAATTCACATTAGTTAAATCGGGCAAAGAGCCCGTATTATTACCACTTATCGGTATTTGAACCGCTCCGGGCACATGAGCCGAAGGATATATACTAAAAAAAAAAAAACAAAACACGGTCAGAAAAGAAAACAAAAAACAATTGCGATATCTTACTGTATACCAGGTACGCGAGGAACTTCACAACTCGACCTCGGTCGCCCTTCATTTCGTTCAGGACCGTTCATATTTGGCATAATCCACCTACTGTTGCAGCTGTCATTTCGCTCCGAATTCATGTCCTAGGATGGAAAATACAGGGTGTGTTAGAACTCGCGCCCCAGAGAAAAATTTCAAGTAAAATAAGATACCAGGAAKGTGGAAAAAATGTTCTATTTGACATTTATTTTTTGACATTTGACAGTTTTTATGTCGATTTAATGATACTAATGATCTTATACAGGGTGTTTCGTCTAAACCCCACATTAAATGTATTGGGAGTTCGAATAATATTTGTTTGTTATACCGGAAGTTGGTCTCAACTTTCTTATTTTAAATGAAAAGCTATAAAGCTGCGTTTTTGGATTAATTGGGTTATTTTAAGGTAGTTTTCATCAGCTTTCCCTATACTTAAAATTAGCCGTTTTTGAAATATTTGGAGTTTTTTTAAAAACCTTTCACTTTAAAAATCTTTGCTATTTTTTAAAATTTTGAATTCGTTTTTTTGGCGTTTGAAAGAGAAAGTTTAGATCTTTCTTCCGGTGTTTTCAAATTCTGAAAAAAAAATAAATCAACCATAAAATTTTAAAGTTACTTTTGTAATAATTCAAATACCCATAACTCAATTTTTTCAAATGAAATACCCCAATTTTTATTTTACTAAATGGAAGAGAATTTAATTCTGCATCGATCTGTATTAACATTTCCTATACCTAAATATAATGATTTTTAAGTTATGGTGACTTTTTGTTAAGACTGCCGAAAATCTATTACTAGCCACATCCGTTTTCGTATAGCTTGCCATGGAAATCAAAAATGTCACAATTGTGTCTCAATAAACGTCGACAGAGACTTATTATTTAACAAATAGTGCCAAAATATGGAGAGTCAAAGCTACTCAAACTTAGATTTAATTAATTTATTTTGTATTTATAGAGAGCGTAACAAAATTATGATGTCGTTCATTAAACAAAAATAAATTTTTCTTACTTGTTAGCTTTAAATAATGATCGCATGGTAGAACCCATCAATAATAATTAAGTTTGCATAACTTTGGTTCTCCATATTTTGGCACTATTTGTCAAATAATAAGTCAGTGTCGACGTTTATTGAGAAACAATTTTGACATTTTTGATTTCCATAGCAAACTATGTGAAAAGAGTGTAGCTAGTAATAAATTTTCTGTAGTCTTAAAAAAAAGTCATTAACTTGAAAATTAAATTAAATTTAGGTATAGGGAATGTTAATACAGATCAATGCACAATTAAATTCTCTTCTATTTAGTAAAATAAAAATTGGGTTATTTCATTTGAAAAAAATTAAGTTAAAAAAAAGTATTTGAATTATTACAAAAGTAACCATAAAATTTTGGGATATGTTTTTTTTTTCAAAATTTGAAAACACTAGAAAAATGATCTAAGCTTTCGCTTTTAAACGCCAAAAAACGAATTTAAAATCTTAAAAAATGCCAGAGTTACCGATTTTTTAAGTGGAAGGTGCAGATCCAAAAATTTTTGAAAAACTCCAAATATTTCAAAAACGGCTAAATTTACGTAAAATTAAGTAAAATAATTAAGTAATAAATATACCTNATTTGAAAAAAATTAAGTTAAAAAAAAGTATTTGAATTATTACAAAAGTAACCATAAAATTTTGAGATATGTTTTTTTTTTCAAAATTTGAAAACACTAGAAAAATGATCTAAGCTTTCGCTTTTAAACGCCAAAAAACGAATTTAAAATCTTTAAAAATGCCAGAGTTACCGATTTTTTAAGTGGAAGGTGCAGATCCAAAAAATTTTGAAAAACTCCAAATATTTCAAAAACGGGTAAATTTACGTAAAATTAAGTAAAATAATTAAGTAATAAATATACCTTTCCATTTAAAATAAGAAAGTTGAGACCGACTTTCGGTATAAGCTAAAGTGCCGACATCTTGAAAATATTTTCATTTAAGAGGACTTAATGGTTTATGACTATGTACCAATTTTCAAATAAATACGATTATTCCAACTCCCAATATTTCTAAAGTGGGGTTTAAAAAGAACATCAGGGTTTCCCAGCGAGTTGAAAAAGTCCATTAGTGACCTTTAATTGGTAAAATTAATAAATACAGGGTGGTGCAAAAMTCTGGACACGATTTTATTCTGGCGAAACTATCAAATTTTTTGGCAAATAAATTTATAGGTGTGCAATGGCTATAAAATAGCTATTCAAAAAAAAATTAAATATTAATTATTTGTTTATACTTACGAGATAAACATACTAACAATTTTTTTTTTAAATAGGAACCTATACTAATATTCTTTTAATTTTTCCCGTTTATCGTAAAACTGTGTCAAATAACACAATCCCATGCGCTAATAGTTTTGTCTTTGTTGTTACTATGCGAATGAGTGAGACAAAATGCAAACGGTCAAGCGTAGCTGAAAATAGGAGMGACCACCAGTCGTTCTCAAACTATGAGACGCCTCTAAGCTAAAATTTTTTGTTATTATTATTATTACTTTTTTAATAAATTAATGTCTTGTATGTTTTCAAGCAAAACAAAATGTTAACAGTCTGTTTATTTTATTAAACATCCATTCATTAATTGTCAATTTTGAGAATCACTGTTATGTTTTGGTCYAGTGAAGTAGATAGGCGTGCTAAAGTTTTCTGTCTCTTTTAAACGACCTAAGTGCGAGAAAGACAACATACCACTGGTGGGACCAGAGAGCGGCATAACGTTTATCTTACTTGCTCCTACCTACTTACTTGAAGAGCGAGAGAGACAACAAAGTTTTATGACATTCAGAATTCGACCATACCACAATTTTTTCAAGACAACGAACTTGTTACAAGAATGGTTTCTGTGCATTTTTTTTTTTTTGTAAACCTCACGTTTTTGTTAAAAAAATGTTTGACTTACAAAAAACTTGGAAAATTATTTTACCAACACAATGAAATAGAGTCAAAGTGCAAAATTTAAACTCTCAAACTTGAATTTTTTTTGACATTTTTTCCATGTTCCTGGTATGGTACCTTACATGGCGCGAGTTCTAGCGCACCCTGTATAAAAAAAATTGTCTCGCCGAGGCGTGAGCCGAGCTTGACACTCACCTGCATGGCGCTTTGATGTAGGGCTGAATCGCTATGCGTGCGCCGCCAACTCGTATCGTGCGGTGGACTTAAAAAAGAATTACTGGAATATGGTGATGTATCTAATCTTCTGTCATGTGGCCTTCTTATAGGTCCGCCTTGTGAACGTGCCCTACTGCCTGGTCGGTAGTTTACCATGTTTGCGGTTGTTGCTTCATCCTGTCAAAAACCAAACAATTAATAAAATTATCGATAGAAAAAAAATAAACTACAAAAAAAACGACCCGATTGAATGCTGCGTCCCTGAAAACTTACGGGATGATATCATTATTTATTATTCTAGACGAGAAACTGGTAACATTTGGTATTGGATTTATGTTTGATATTATTTCATTATGCCGTTACAATGAAAACGAATTGCCAATTATTTCAAAAAATGTGTTTCACTTATGACTTTCATGATCAAGTGTTTTACTCCGCAATTTCGAATATAAATTTTTATTTTATCTGCTTTCGTGAAAAAACCTAGGTGGCGCATATTACCGCAAAAATTGTACGAAACTAACCTCTTGGTGCTTATTTTCGAAATAATTAGAACCAATTAGAATTAGAAACCAAGTCATTAACGTAATTGGTAAATCATTCGGTTTCACCCTGTATAGTATTACATTCAGACCAGTAGCGGTCAACATTTTTGTAAGGTTGACTGACTTTGAAGTGCGTCATAAAGTGTCTTACAAAATTTAAAATAATTTTTTAATTAAATAATTTAATAAAAATCCAGGTAACCGGAAGCTCTAAAAACTCATTTTTTCACTCCCAAAAGTACCCACTATACATAACTATGAAACACAAACCGGGAAAAAACACACATAATGACATTCTTTCAAAATAAAACTTCAAAAAAACTGATACTCGATTTCTTTGAAATTTGTCTAATTAACTTTTGTCAGCACTGAAATCAAGAGTAAAAGTGCAAATTTGTTCTACATGATTCAAAAAAATTAAATAAAAAGAGGCTTTGCAGTATCAACTTTTATAATAAAAAAAAAGTTACATGTGCTGTTATTTTTTGAAAATCATTCTAATTTTAATATTTTTTTTAATTAAAAGTTAAGTTTCAACACTTGATCATGAAAATAAGTAAGAAAATTCATGAAACTTGTTACAGGAGGTACTTCAGTTGTACACATTAAAAACCCAAAATAAAGGGTGATTTTTAAAAAGCGGCAGGTGCTGTAGAAATTTTATTTATGACTCGATTTCAAAAATTAAAAAAACTAAATTAAATGACTTTTAATATAGTGTAAGCTGACAATTTTGGAATTTTTCTAAATGTCATAGTTTATTTTGGACTATATTCAACTTCCTAATTTTAAATTAGAACACATATTTTTTTCTTCATAATTTGAAAGATA